CCCGCCAGCCCACAGGGCAGCGACCTGCAGCCGTGTCCACGAGCCTCCGCCGGCCGCGGCACCCCAAGGGGCACCCTGGGGCTGTCAACACCGACCAGCTCCAGGAGCACGGACGCACAGCTATGCCGTCACCGCCCAGCCCTTCCGCAAAACGGCCGATGCCTGGGGGCCAGCTCGAGCCAGCATCCTCCGCCCCGGGAGCCCCTGCAGTCCCAAGACCAGGTGCGACGCGAGTCTGCAGAGACCTAACCCGCCACGCGCTCTGTCCGTCACCACCGCCTGAGAGCGCGTGTCCTTGCACGTTTCAGGGACACGACTCAGATGGTGCCACAGGCACCAGGACACCTGCAGCGGCCCTGGACCACTGAGGGGAGGGACGGCGCATCCTCGCACCCTCAGAGGAGCGGTGGGGTACTGAAGCACACCCCTCCATCCTTGAGATAGAGGAGGGTCGGGGCCCATCTTGAAGAGACCCAGAATCCCAACTTTTTCTTGGGTTTTCAAAGAGCGTTAAAAACAGACGTTAAAATTCAAATTGCTTTAAAAACTGAGCATTTAAACGTGTTAATAAAGTACCTGTTTGTCACCGGAAAATTAGAAAGCATTAAGATGAGGAGTCCCTGAGAACAACGTCGAGGTCCAGGCCAGGGGCGCCCAGAAGAAGAACTCGCCCTGGGCTGAGACAGGTCGTCTGAGACAAGAAGCCACGCCTCAAGACGTGATTGGAGGGAGGGGAAAGGCGGCGATGCACTCGAAGGCCAAAACCACGCCTCCCTCTGTGCCAGGCAGCGTGGAGCGCGGCGACAGGAGGGACAGGATCCCGCTCGGTAAGGGACTGCCTTCGAACTGGAGCAGCCAGCAGGAAGCTGTGCCCAACCCCAGGACACAGCGGAGGAGCGACACCCAGCGGCTGGCCGCGGAGCCCCGAGACGCTGCATGCCACAGAACCACACGCCAGAACCCGGAATCCCGAGCCCCACGCGTCCGTGCCCGCGCCCACCCAGGGAGCACCGCATCCCGCGGCGTCCGACGGCGTCCGTCCCCTCGGATTTGCTCAGCCACCGGGCGACGCAGCATGGTGAGATCCCGGGCAGCAGGGCCTTGCAGATGCCAGTGTGGCAGCTGCCCCAGCAGTCGGAGGGACTGTCCCCGCTGCGTGCCCAGGAGGCGGAGCGAGGGCAGTGAGGGAACCCTGACCAGACCCCACTCTCCTCTCAGCCCGAGGTGGCGGCCAGGCCTGGAGGCCAGCCGTGGACACCACCCCTCAGAGCATCAAGTGGGCCGACGACGCCAGCCAAGAACTGGGGGCCACGTACAGATGAACCACCTTTGCTCTCGATCCCTTTCGAAACGCTTCTTTCAGAAGCGCGGCACATCACCACGCGCCTCCATAAACCTGAACGCGGCACTCCGACGGGGCGCGCGTCTGGCTCAGTTCCCGTTCCCTCACTCACCCCGCAGCGCAGTCCATGCTGAAGCAGCCTGCAGAGCAAGGCCCTCAGGACAGTCACTCCTTGTACCGCCTTCGCTTCCAACACAAACCCCGGGGCGCACAGGCCCCGCCCACCGGCTGCTGCCCCATCCCGCGGGACCCCACCCTTGTGGTCCCCGTGACTGCCCCTCCCTGGCATCCCCACCGTGTGCAGAGTGGGGGAGCGCAGCAGGACCCAAGGGGCAGGAACATCCAGCCACGTGGTGTCACCTGCACGTCCGCAGTCCTCACCCGCTGCTAGGACCAGGCCTTGGGACGGGGCGGGGGCGGAGCCGGAAGCAGGCAGAGGGGCTCCTAGGGGCTCCGACCTCGCAGTGTCAGGAGGCAGGCGGAGGACGGGAGGGGGCTGCGACGGCACGTACCTGCTGCGCGCTCCGCTGGGACTGCAGGCTGGACTGGAGCCGCCTCAGCAGGGGGGCGCCGTTCCTGGACAGCCTCTTCAGCAGCCAGTAGCTGTGGGCGCGCTCGACAAACTGCTTCTTCCGCTGAATGGCCACCTGATTCGCAATCCTATTTAATCTAAAACACGGAAAAACTCAGAGTTTAGCTTTACAGAGGTACGTTAACACGCTTTCACCATGGAAGCTAGAAACGACGGTGCCCCTTTCCATCGGCCAGACGTGCTCACGCGACGTCTCTCCTAGCCCTGGCTCACGTAGTGCCACCTCCGCTGCCCCTGGTTCTGCTGACAGAGGCCAGCATCTCCAACGAGCCACAGGTGTCATCCATTCTCAACTCACCCTGCGTTTATCAGTTCAGACACCTAAAAATAAAACGTGCCGAGCACAGCTTGAATGTGTTTAATTTCCTCCACGTCACGCCGCCCCACGCACGCAGCCGTGACCAGGTACATGTGAAGACCCCTCAAGGACAGCTCACGCCCACTGAGGGTGGCGGGTGCAGGGTGCTGGTCCCACTCAGTCACCTCAAAGAGGACAGAGATGCGACAACTCGAGGTAGAGGGAGAAGCAGCTGACGGGCCAGGGCTGGAGACGAAGAGGGGCTACTGCTGGCTGAGGTGACAACGGGGTCTTCAAGTCTCCCGAGAGACCTCACCCTTTCAGAGACCACGGAATGCAAAGGCTTTGTAAAAACACTCACAGAAGGGATGGTGATCACTCAACAATTCTGAGGCCACCAGAGAGCTGGCACCTCCCCAGTACCACCCTCCCTGAAACGACCACCCGTCAATCCGCCGCACAAGGACACTGAGTGGTAATGGGAGGTCACTCTAAACTCAAACTTAACAGAACAAAAACATGAAATGCAACAAGGCATTCCTCATGGTGCACCGAAATCAGAATTTCAGGACAGCAAGCAAGGAATTCCAAGACCTATCTTTTTAAAAGATGCAACTCACAAGTTTTACAAAATAACCAATGAACAAAATAGTCCCACACAGCCCCAACACCCCCGCACGGCCCTCCGCTTAAACCGCAGCTCTTGGCCACATGGCTGCTTGGCCATCTGCTGAGCTCTGATGAACATGGCTGCCCTCCCGGGGTCAAGACCCACGTGCCATGCAGGGACCCAATGCCCTCTCCTCTAGGGGGACCCAGCTTGAGTCCTTCTGGGGACCCAACCTGAGAAACTGACTTTGGGGACAGCTCCGTGCCAGACACAGGCCAGGGGCTTTGCAGAAGTAACCCTTGTCCAGTCAAGCCCCAAGGGGAAGGTGCCAAGAGCCCCCGCAGGCAGATGTGAACCCCCAGTATGTACGAGCTCAAGTGTGTTCACAGCCTGCCCTTGACCAAAGGGCCACAGGTCCACACATTCCAGGACACCTGGTCACATGGCCTCAGCGTGGCAGGAACAGGATGCCCAGGAGCGGCACCCAGCCCGACCCCACCATCGCCGGGGGCCCCAGCAGAGGGTGCACTGGAGACACAGGCTCTGCAGAGGGCCCCGCACCCGAGCCGGTGTGCCCATGGGCGGTGCCAGCCTTCGTCCTTACCACCCTGGGCTGAGCGCACGCGGGCACAGCCGGGGCCGGCCACAGTCCCTCACGGCCCTCCGCACACACGGACGGATGTTCTCACACGCTCACTCAGCTACCTCGAGGGTCCCGTGAAGCAAGGAGACAGAAGCACTTTTTAACAATTTCAAGGTCCAGAAAAATGCTGTTCGGCCACACGCTTTTATAGATTTGAACCTCACAAAACCAGCCGCCTCTCCTCCAGAGTCGGGACTTGTGAGCTGTCGGCAACCCATGGCCTCGGAGAAGGCGTGGGAAGCTGTCCTGACGTGCCTGCTGCAAGCCGCGCTTTGAGCACTGATGGCAGCATGCGAGCACCCAAGTGCCAGAGGAGCGGGCAGGGCCGAGTGCCCCGGAAGGACACACACTGTGCTGACACTCAATGCCGCCGCACCCACCCAGCTGTGGGGGGCAGAGGGCGCGCCAACCCGCACCACGGAAACGCCCAGCGGAGGGCACGGCACCAACGCAGGACGGGAAGCGACTCGGCTCCCTGGACAAACTCCAAGGGGAAAGAGGCCAAGCGGGGAGACTCACAGGGCGCGCGTAACTGTAGAGGCCCAGTGAACCCTGGTGTTCAGAACGGGGTAAGCAGGTGAGTCCCACACAGGGGAGTACAGCGGTGGTCCCGTGGTGGGAAAGGGCTGTCGGGGGCTGGGGGCTGGCCGGCGAGCCCATCAGGTGGACTGTGGTTTCGAGCCTGCCTGCCCTTGAGTCAGTCATTAAACTAGGCATTTCTTCTGTGCAACTTCCTGATTTTGGATTCTATTTTAAACTTTTTTTTACTACAGTATTTGGCAAGAGTATATTGAAAGGATCACAAGTCTGACTTTCTCAAGCCTTTTTGAATGTGCCTTATAAACAAAGTGCTTCCAAGTGACAGATCAACAGGCATAACTGACAGATCCCCAGTAAGTGCTGGCGACATGGCCTCTGGAGATGCATCAGGAGACGGTGGACGGCGGCGGCCGCAGCGGCCTGCACTGAGCTTCTGGAGAAACTGAAGGCGGGCCCCAACGCAGGTCAGCTCGTAAAACGTCCGTGTGCGATTTGGGGACACAACGTGGAAGGGAATTTTACAAATTGACTGCATCGCACAGCACAACGGCTTTTATACAACCTACTGCACGTGTGACGAAGGTCTGCGGCACTCACGTCTCTGGTAACAACCAGGAACGCAGCAGAGGGAGACCCTGTCTCGCCACAGGAGGGACGTCCCATACAGAAACCTCGCCTGTCTTTCCAAACCCCGTTTCATTAAGAGATGCGCCCGGAAGTGTCACTTTCGGTTAAGAATCTTCAAGTTGTCCGTTTCTTTCGTTTGAGCGTGTACCAACGACTGTGACAACATGACCAGGAAGAAACCTAAACACTCAAGGTCCAGTGAGAGTGACGTGAGGTTAACGTGGGGACAGCAGCTGGGTGGCAGTCAGCCGCCCCCTGACAACGAAACCCGCCCCCGAGTGACTAAAGACTTGTGAGGGACACTGGAGGGACAGACGCACTGGGACGCCCCCCCGCGGGCTGACAGCAGCAAGGAGACAGCCAACAAATCAAGGTGTTCGCGAGAAACTGCGGCCGCTGAGCCCTGAGTGGGGCGGGCGGCAGGGGACAGGAGGGCCACTGAAGAGCACTTAGAAGAAAACCCTGAGGCCCTCACGGAAATAAAGGATCATTTAAACAAGATACAACACCAGCCATAAGTAAATAAATAAAAATGCATTAAAAACTAAAAGGCGATGCCCTCCATCCACTCTCACCCCATCACGTCGGTCCTGGGCGGGTGAGTCTGGATGAAAACAAGAAAAACTGCAGGCCGGAACAGCCCGCCCAAACTGTCGTTTTCACAGATGTCCATGAAAATAACGTAAGAGACTCTACAATGTATTCTACCAATCTAAAAACAAAAACCTAGATCTACACAAACGACAAAGCAAAACTCATTCTTAAAAACACTCCCGCACTCAACTTTCGTGGAGATTTTTATGGAGCAAAGCATCGCCTCCCACGAAGATGCCGACGACGTCCTCGTGGGCAGCGAGGCGGCCGCGGCCGTGTTTTCGTAGACGGTGGGGAGCGAGGCTTCCGAGACGGACATGCACGCCGGGGGACTCGGGCCGAGCCCAAAGCAGAGCGTGGAGGCCGGGGGGGGCCTCGCACAGGAGGACGAGGGGCCGAGCATGGCCCGGCGATGGAGAACAAGGGGGACTGGCCCGCACAGGGCAGGGCTCGGGGAGCCACTGTGGGATTCGGAGAGGTGGCCAGAGATGCGGGGACAGGGCCGCGAGCGCTGGCAGCCGATGGGCAGGGGGGGCGTAAACCAGCACGCGGCCGGCTGCAGCGAGCCCCGGCTGCGGGAGGGCTGTGCAGAGCCGCAGGGCTGGGGAGGGCGGGCTCCTCAAACCTGACCCCAACCGCGCCCCGCGTCAGAAAACCACGCAACTGACAACCGTCCGCAGCACGACTATGGCTGTTTTGGACCCTTGTTCTCTACGCGGACACATCCGTGGGGGAAGCGATATGACTGGGACCTGCCTCAAAGCCATCACAAGGCAGCAGGTGAGGGACACCAGACAGGTGTGGGGACTGGTGACTGCCGAAGCGGGGTCAGAGTGCTGGGCTCGCCTACTCCACAGATTTCCAACGCTGAAAAGACTTTTGAAGACGTCAGTGAAAATGAGGAGGTCAGCTTCCCAGGGGCGGGAAGCCATGCACACAACCTACCCAACTCGCCACATGCTGCCGAGGTGGGGCCTCCCCAGCGCCGGGGACAGGCCGGCGAAAAGAGAGACACCCCAGGTGGTGCTGGTGGCAACGTAGCAGCACCCAAAACGCCGCTCCCAAGAGCGCCTGCACTGGCGGCAAGGACGTACTCCACCCACCAGGGACGCTTCAGTCAGGATGACGCAGACCCACGGCAACACGCAACCTGTGTCCAAGGTCCCCGTGCAGGCCGCCCAGATGGCCTGAGCACCAGGCAGGGAGACAGGCGTGCGTGACCGGCGGAGCCCGCCGCAACGCCGATGGCGGCAACCGCGGGGAGGGCCACGACTGGGAGGGGCCCTCACTCGACACCCGGCTCCGCTTTCTAAATGCTCTACGTTTGGTAAACGGGAATGGGGGTCTCTCGAGTTTTTTCCTGTGTTTAAGCTTGTGATATAAAAATCACGAAAAACAAGTAAAATGCCATTAAAAAATCATCCCCACCTTCACGTGGGAGGGACGCTGGGTGAGCGCCCTCATGAGGTTCCCTGCTGTCGCCACTGGGCACTGGGACTTTAGACGCACCCTCCCTCTCCAAGCCTCTCTCTTGAAGGGTCTGAATCTCTACGATGGGCACGAACAGCTGGGGTTGGATGGAGGTCGCCGTGGCACCAGTGAGACAGAGTCAACCTCCCAGACCTAAAAGCCCCGCATTTGCCTCTGGAAGTGGTTCTGGGCCACCCTGGCTCCCAGGAGAACCCCCTGCCCAGTGTGGCTCGGGTAAGGACTCTCCAGACCCTCCTGGGTTCCCAGACACGTGGGTGACAGAGCCCCAAGGTCA